ATCATCAGTAATAATCAACACATCTTGATTGCATACGTGTTCAATTTCAGACTGTATAAATTGGTAAAAAATTTTCAATTTCCTCATCTTTGGCTTTGGTGTTGGTGTGTATATTTGAATAATATTTGTTTTGGTTACACCTAGTGCTGCTCTAACAGAAAATTCTCCCAATATATGGCTTGAACAAAGAGCAGTTTATTCTCTTACAGATTAGGAGGCTAGAGTCTGAGTTTAAAGTACCATTTCTAGGGATAGGGTGAAGGCCTCTCAACTTTGGGCTTCAGCTCTGCCTCTTGCTCCTGGCCCACTGAAGCTGGAGGCTTTTCTTTACTCAGACAGCCCCTGGTTGCTGAGGCTGACAAACCTAAGGCTAAAAAGTACAATGGCACAGTCCCAAGATTATCGAACAACATGGCAGGCCACTAGTTCAAGTCCAAAACAGTCCCAAAATTGGCAGGGCCTGCATGACAGGCTGCTGAAAGACAACTAGGCTGAATGCAGCTGCCAAAAGCATGCCAAAAAGCCCCAGAGACCTGTCTCAATGCTTCTTCTTATGCACTGGAAGCGGACCATATCCTTAAGACAGCTACTTGGTTGCTCCAGTAGATTCCACAATGGAGTTGACTACCAGTCTTGTCATGGGGAATAACTACATACTGCTGTCCAGCCACTGGAAACCAGGCCCAGCCTACCACAGTAGTATTAACTGGTCTTCCTTACAGGCATATGGATATTATCCTACCACTGTCAGCACTGTACTTCAGGATAGATCTTGAAACATTTTGGGGATGATGAATGCCACATCATTCTTTATCATTCCCAGCATAGTAGATCATATGGTTGTCTGATTCAAAATGGTCAAAACCAGTCCATTTCAGTTCACTAATGCCTAGGATATCCATCTTTATTTCATTTCCTTTTTGACAACTTCCAATTTTTCTAGATTTATACTTCGTACATTCCACGTTCCAATTATTAATGGATGTTTGCAGCTCTTTCTTCCCATGTTGAGTTGTGCCACATCAGCAAATGAAGGTCCCGAAGGCTTTGCTCCATCCACATCATTAAGGTTGACTCTACTTTGAGGAGAGAACTCTTCCCCAGTTGTATTTTAAGTGCCTTCCAATCTGAGGGGCTCATCTTCTGGTACTATATCAGACAATGTTTCAGGGCTACTCATAAAGTTTTCCAGTAAGATATCAGACAGTGTCTCACTGCTATTCATAAAGTTTTCGCTGGCCAGTTCATTGAGAAATGGATGGCTTCTTCCTTCTTCTGTGTCTGTCTTAGTCTGGAAGCTCTGCTGAAACCTGACCACCATGGATGACCCTGCTGTATTTGAAACACCTGTGGCATAGCCTCCAGCCTCACAACAAGCCACCACACATATCACAAACTGACAGACAAGTGGTGGCATTTATTCATAGGACATTTTAATATTTAATCTATGTATTTACCTAACAAGGTCTATTATTTTATTATGCTCTAATTTAATTTTGGTGTTCTGGTGGCTCTGTGGTTAATTCACTGGGCTACTCACCAAAAGTTCAGTAGTTCAAACTCACCAGCCACTGCACAGGAGAAAAATGATGCAGTTTGCTTCCTAAAAGATTTATAGCCTGGAAACCATATGTCCAGCTCTACTTTCTCCTACTCATAGGGTTGCTCTGAGTCAAAATCAACTCAATAGTAATGGGTTTGGTTTTAGTTTAATTTCATTTTGGTTTTACACCCATTCATTGCTGTTATGATCTGGAACCACACTGTCCAACAAAACTTTCTGCAGTGGTAAGAAAAGTCTTTTTAAGACATCCAAAAGGAGATATCAAGAATTCACTTGGATATGCAGGTGTAGCTTAAAAATAAATATGGATTATATATATATATATATATATATATATACACACACACATGAATCAAGTGGTAGCAGAGTGTAACAGTAAAGTAAATGGACTCTTGCTACACAACCTGTATTAGGAATATATTATAAATAATCTGATTTTTTATCTCTATGTAATAATTGTTCCTATAACAGAATTATAGAATATCTGTATAGTACCTCAGGGACTCTAGTGGCATAGGTGTGTAAGGCAATTGGCTGCTAACCAGGTCAGCAGTTCAATCCCACCATCTGCTCCATGGTAGGAATATGAGGCAATCTATTTCCATAAAGATTTACAGCCTTGGAAACCATATGGGGGTCACTATGAGTCAGGGCTGACTCAACGGCACATAACAACAACAACAACATGAGTTGGAACCAACTTGATAACAGTGGATATAGTACCTAGAACAATTACTGGCATATATTGTGCCTAAAGCATTTGATTGCTAACCTGAAGTCTGGTGATTCAAATCCACCAGCCACTCCTTGGAAAGAAGGGTGGGCAATCTACTTTCATAGTGATATCGCCTTGGAAACCCAAGGAGGGGTCACTGTGAGTCAGATCTGACTCAACAGGAGTTTGGTTTTTTTTTTTTTTCCTTTCCTTTTCTTTTGTATTATGTAAGTATGTGGTTAGTATAAAAATGGGTATAGGTGGCATTTGAAGCCATGAGTGTGTACGAAATCAATTGGGTAGACAGGGCAGTTTGAGACAATAAGATTATAAATGATCATGATTTAAAGAACTCCTTTATTTAATGGCTGAAAAGGAAAGACAAAATATGCAAAGGAAACTGAGTAGACAAAAAGGTGGAAAACTAGGAAAGTATATTGTCAGTGGCATCAAGAGTGAAGGAATAATTAATAGTGCTTTTGAGTGGAGTACTTTGAATGAACATGAAATAATTAATTGCAAGAGATAGTTGCATTAGTGGTTTAGTGAGTACAGTGATACTCCTCTCAAATCTCTCTTCAGGAATGAACAGGTTATTCCCACAGCTTCTTGGAGTGCTACCAACAGATATGCCTTAGCTAACAGTACCTGAGATATTGCCTTGGCTATAAAGATCCTCTTTGTCCAAGGGCATGCCTCCTTTTCTGAGAGAACCTGCAGACAGTGATGGATTGCCATGGGTACAAAGGCCCAGATCACTTACCAAACTCAGGAAAACTTTTAGAGTTTCAAATTCAAATTCTCCCTTTGCCCAATTTTGCTTCCTTTCCTCCCCTAGGTACAAATCCTTAATTCCCTTCACACTAAAGTCCATCTTAAAAGGTAGCTTCACATGGAACCCAGTCTCTGACAATAAGGTAGGTCACCAAGGCTTTCTTCCGTAGTGCCACTGGGTGGGTTCAAACCGCCACCCTTTAGATTAGCAGCTCAGCACAGACAGTTTGTGCCATTTAGGGACCTTAGGGGATGCATAATAGTGAGAAATTGGAACAAAGAATAGGCAACACTTCCAAGTACACGATAGAACATGACCACAAAAAGAATAATCAAAACAAGACCAAGAGTGTATCAAGGGCTCACCCCATTAGGATGGGAGATATTTCAGGATGTCCATAAACTAAAAGATAAACACTAGTAGTGTAGTCCCTAAGGCACTTGATTGCTAACCAGAAGACTGGCAGTTCAAACCCAACAGCCACTCCTCAGAAGGAAGGTTGGGCAATCTACTTCGTAGTGATACCGCCTCAGAAACCCAAGGAGGGGTCGCTATGAGTCGGGGCCAACTGGAGGGCATACAACAACAACAACAACAACAATTACAGATACAGGATTCCAAGTATGTGAAGTTTTCTCTAACAAAGAGTGAACAGTAGTTGTTAAGTATCACTTTCTGTTAAATATATCAGGACATCAGTATTAGTTTACTAAGTTGTTAGGAAAAGGACTTTCTTAAAAAATCAAAATAAACCATAAATTGTCTACCTTAGGTCGGTCTTCTAAATTTGAATAGTGTACACCAGTTTTCCCAGGGACTGATGATACCAGATGAAACTGGATCTACTAGTCCACTCCTCCCACACCTTCTTTTTATCCCCAACCAAGCTACAATTTCTACTTCTTAAGCCCGAAAACGTTTTTCGTAAGTGATATAACTGCAAAAATTGGTATTTCTGAATAGAGAAAAATCTCCAGGGAATCAAATAAACTGGAAAAAAAGTTTATATCGCAAATGAAACTTGGAGAAAAAATGAACTAAGTATATGACAGGCAGTAAGTGATGGTTTCTGAGTTGGAAAAACGTGAGGTGAGGGGAAGGGTTAGGTTAGGTCTAGAGGTAAAGCTTAAGGAAAAAGGTTAAAACTGAGAAATCTTCATTGAAGTAGCAACAAAACAGCGTTGGCTACAGACAGGCATCTAAAATTTTCTCACACCCTGAGAGCTTGGCGACTTCAAAAAACGTGGCCTACATCTTCTAAAGCACTCGAGGTAGAGAAAAACTTACAGTAGAGGCAAACACAAAGGCAAAAAACTTTATGACTGACCCCGGAAACATTTTAATTTGCGTACATGTCAGGAGAATTTTCTTCTGTGATTCGTTACTTGATCCGGAAACAGAGGTAGCTAATTTCACTTGCGATTGGCTCGCATCATAAAGGTGGAGCTTTAGAAAACCAGTCACCTTGGCAACCGGACATGACGATTCCGGAAGCCATAGGCTGAGCTTCGCTTTGGCTGGCAGCGTCCGTAGGCGGGGTCGTCAGAAATAAATTGGTTTAGTCTTCCCCCACTGACCTGGCTCTTTTTTGGCCACGCCATTAAGGCCACGCCTACCGCTCCTACTCCCGATGGCTCTAGGGTGATGTCGTAGGCTCTGGGGGCGGAGATTTTAGACTATTTCTCTCAGAGTTAAAGGTAGGACCGGCGCCGTCACCATCCTGGAGTCTTCCGGTGTCTGGGTGGCTGCGCCGCCTCTCTCCGAAGTCTGAGGCTACGCCCTCTCCAGAGTCAGCTGTCGCCGCCCTTTCAGCGTGGAACGTCTCAGAGTTGCTCCGGGCAACTCCAGCCCAACATTCTTTAGCACTCGTTCTTGTCCCCCTTTAGGAGTTCGACCCTACACAGCTCCCTTTTCTGGTTGTGCTGTCCCATCCCACCCCCTCTAAAATGTCCAATAATCTACAGAGGGTCTTCCTGAAACCCGCAGAGGAAAATTCAGGCAACGCCTCGCATTGGTAAGTACCAGTTTCGAATCCCCCTCCACACGCCCACCGCCGGCTCCGTCTCTTAGCTGGATGTCAAGTCTGCCTTCGTTTCCTGTTGTTCTGCAATTCAGATGAGTTTGACTTGGCAGGGTAAGCCACTCAAGCGAGAAGTGTTCGTCATTTCGGCACTTGAGTTCTTTGACCGCATTCCTGTGGGAAATGTAAAATCTCAGAGCCTGACGCTTTCAGCCACTGCCAGGGCTCCGCAGGAATTCAGCGTCTCAAGTTTCACAGGCTGACAGAGTAGATCTCCACGGGAGAGAGAAACCAACATGGCCGACGCTCCTGTGTAGCCAAAACCTTCTGGAAGATTCTCGTGCACACGCAGGAAAAATACGCAGCAGTCTGCGCGGATTAGCAAGTGCATTCCTGGTGGTTCTGGACCGTCACTGAAAATAGTCATAATTTAATAGACTTAGGAAGAAAGTAAGGATATATTTTTTTGTGCAGTCAATGAGATTATGGTATATGGATTAATAAATTGAAAACATGCTTTAAAACAAATGTTTTACATATTTTTTAAAAATAGCTTTATATGAAGGAGCTCTGGTGGCGTAGTGCCTAAAGCATTTGACAGCTAACCAGAAGTCTAGTGGTTCAAACCCACTAGCCACTCCTCGGAAGAAAGATTGGAAGGTTGGGCAATCTACTTCCGTAGTGATACTATCTCGGAAACCCAAGGAGGGTCGCCATGAGTGGGATCCGGCTTGAGGGTAGTGTGGGTTTTTTGTTTGTTTTATGTGAAGAGAGAGAAAAATAAAAATAGGAAAATTCTTCTGTAAAACCAGTCCTTTGGAAAAGCATATTTGAAGCATGTGTAATTAGAGTACCATTTCTAATTAGAAATCTATGTAGAGGAACTATATATTGGGCATGAAGACTCCATTATTTCTTCATGTGTTCATGTGTGTATTAATTTTTTCAGAAAGTCGTACTTTCTAAATTTAAGAAATAGGTTAATAGTTTTTTGAAAGTTTGTATTAAATGAAATGGGATCCAAATGTTAGCGAGGGTTTGTTGTTGTTGTTAATAGGTAAAATCACCTGGGGATGATGTTAAAATACAGGGAGTAGTGCCTAAGGCATTTGACTGCTAACCAGGAGGCTGGTGGTTCAAACCCACTAGCCACTCCTCGGAAGAAAGATTGGAAGGTTGGGCAATCTACTTCCGTAGTGATACTGGCTCGGAAACGCAAGGAGTGGGCTTTATGAGTCCGATCAGAGTCCAGTCCAGGGCAGTGAGTTGTTTTTTCTTGGGGGGAAGGGGTAAAAATGCAAATTATCAGCAGAGTGTCGAATCAGAATGAATTGGTTAGAAGCCCTGCCAAAAAGATTGATGGTTGGAACCCACATAGCAGCCTTTTGGGAGAAAAGACCTACAGAGATGCTCTCTTGAAGAGTACAGCGTAGGAAACTCTATCAGGGGCTCTACTCCACACTTGGGGTATCTATGAGTAAGAATCGACCCCACAGCACCTAACAGCAACAACAGCAGAGCTCCTGAGTGGCAGAAGCAGTTCAGTGGTTGGTGGTGAAAACCACCCAGAAGCGCCTGGCCTGGAGATCTGCTTCTGAAAGGTCACAGAGAGCACTTCTACTCTGCACTTGTGGGGTTCCCATGAGTCGAAACTGACTTGATGGCTGGTAACAACAAAAGCAGTGAGCTAAAACAGTTTTGAAGGAGTATCAAGAAAGAAACATTATGTATTGAATCATAAAAGAATCTGGATTTTTTTGTTAGTTTATTTTATGGTAGAAGTTGGAGGTGGGAGGCACAAGTAGGGTCCTGTAGATATGCAAAAATAGAATTTCGCTTTAATGATTGTTTAATTTTTTCTACCTTGTTTTAATACTTAGATACTTGATGAAATCTGACTTACCTTAATTATACATTTATATAGTGCATTCTTTTTCTATATCAGAAACAAGATAAAGCATTTTATATTTTATTATTTACTTTTAACTCTTTTATCCAGTTCCTAATCTTTTTGACTATATTTGAGATTTTCAAAATAATACAGCTTGAATTATGTTTTGGTTACATTGTAAGTATTTTCTAGTTCATTAACTCATTGATTTATCCGTTGTTGTTTTCATCATCTTTGAATGCATTTATTTTTCTCTATTACCTTCAAATCACTGAGGTTTTATATCACCTACTTGGAACATTTACAAGATATCTTTCTGAAGATATTTGACACTTATTTTGGCTATTGGGTGTATATTTGATTCCATTCTGTTTTGTAACAATCTACATGGTATCCAAATACAATTTTGTAAATAATGTGGTTAATGTTAGCTCTTCAGTTTATTGACAACTTAGTTTTCTTAACTTTGCAAATATTTTTAATGGTACTACATAGTTTGTTTTTTATCTTAAACCTAAGAGTAACTATATAATATTCTTATAATCCGTATATATTTGAATTTTCTTGAGTTACTGCTTCTTTCTGTTGGTAAAAATTTTTCAGTACTGCTATAGAATGTTTATTGTTAAAGTGTCTCTAATTCATCAAGACATGTAAAATCTAAATTTAATCTTATAGTACACATGAAAAATTTGGAAGCTATTTATGATAGTATGCATTTAGGTTTTCTAGATTTGGAGTTTATTATCAAATGAAACAGAGTTATGATGGTAAGTGGAAAGAAGGTAAACTGGAGTTACAGAGTCTGGGTACATATTTTAGCTTCACCACTTACTAGGAGTGCAGTTCAGAAGTTCAATTAAAAAACATTCATTGAGTGCCTACTATGTGATAGACTATGATGGCTGGGAGGCTGCACTAAAGAATAGGATGTGAGCCATGCCCATGGAAAACTTTACAGTCTGGGGTGGAATGGGGCATGAAGATGATGTAATAAATTTTATGGTAACATTATGCATAGGATGCTATGAGGGCATAGAGGAAAGTAGTTGTAGGAAAGATATCTAAAGCTGCTGAATTGGGAAAAACAAGTATCTACCATGGTGGCATCACGAAGGTTGCTGTCACCCAGTGAGAATAACTAAAGGTGGGTGGAACTGGCTGTCGGGAACCCCCCTCTACCCCAGATGTAGTGACCCAGTCTTCCACAGTTCCCCATAGCTCCTCCCCTTTCCTGTTGGCCAAGGCAAGACCCTCTCTTTGCCCAGTGGTAGGCACCAAGGCCCAGCAGCTGCCTGAGCCCTAACTGATGTGTAAGTTGAGGGCTGGGGAGTAGTGATATCAGCCCTAGTGATACCACTACATTGGTGGCCTCTACCCCAATAGCACCAGTCTCCCCTGCCTCTGCCACTGCAGACCCTGGGGTCATTTGATTGTGACCGCCTCTGACAGCCCACCAACCCCCACCCCCTCAATCCTGAATGCAAAGATATGCCCAGGCAGAGGGAACTAGTAAGTAAAGCACAGAGGCATAAAACAGTATGGATTATTATTAGCACTTGCTGATTCTAAACTATAAGTGGGATAAATAACTCTTGAGGGTTTGGTTTATCTTGCTAAAGAGATTATTGTGTGCCATTGAGTCCATCCTGACCCATAGTGACCCTTTAGGACAGAGCAGAACTCTCCATAGAATTTCCAGGGTTATAAATCTTTATGGAAGCAGACTTCCACATCTGTCTCCCTGGAGCTGCTGGTAGGTTCCAGTCTCCAATTTTTTTGTTAGCAGTTTAGCACTTAACCACTGTGCCACCTGGGCTCCTCACTAAAGATATTAGACTTCATTTATTGGAGATGGTTCAGAGGATTTTGAGAAAAGGACTGACATGGCGGGATGTGCATTTTAGATAAGTGATGGCCATGTGGATTTAAACGTGATGGGTCAGGCATACAAGAATTCTATTTCAACTGTCCTTTCAGAGATTCTGAGGGCCTGAACCTAGGTAATGGAGAATACAAACCGAAAAACCAAATTCACTGCCTTCTAGTCTAATCTGACTCATAGCAACCCCTCCTGAGGTTTCCGAGGCGTTATCTTTGCAAAAGTAGATTGCTCAGTCTTCCTTCCAAGGAGTGGCTTGTGGGTTTGAACCACTAGCCTTCTGATTAGCAGTCATGCTTTAGGCACTATGCTACCAGAACTCCCAGTGGAGAATGGGGTTTGGGTTTAAATATGTAGAAGAGAAAAGAGGTAGACCATGTTAGTGAATTCGCACTGAAAGATGAGTAACAAAGCGTATCAGTTATATGTCAGGTTTCTGGGTAAATTAACTGAGATGAAAGCACAACAAGAATGCAGTCAGGGAGATACTTGAATCTGAAGCTCAGAGGCAAAGTCAGAACTGAAAAGATAAAACTGGGGAGTTACCAACTCTTGGGTCATGGAGTTGATTTAGAGTCGTAGCGACCCTATAGGACAGAGTAGAACTGTCCCCTAGAGTTTCCTAGGCTGTAAATTGTTGCCAGGGCAGATTTCTGTATCTTTCCTCCTACAAAGTGTCTCGTGGGTCCAAACATCTGTCCTTTTGGTTAGCAGCCAAAGACTTAACCATTGCATGAGCAGGACTCCTCTGCAGTTCAGAGGTATTGCATTAAAAGTTTGTGATAATGCGTCCCACAATAATAGGGATTAGGATTTCGTGTGATTGTAAATTGACTTTTGTCCTCCTTTAGCCCTTTGTTCTCAAATGAGGAGCTAAAATTGCTATGCACAGTTGGGAGCCTGACGTGGTTAGAAAGAAAATGTTTCATTGTCAGTTTATTCTGTTATATACAGTAGAAGTTTTATTGTCCTTATTTTTGTGATTTGTGTGAGTTTGTATGTGTGTAGATGTATGTGTAAGGGAGAGACAGACACACCATCAGCTGACAAATGCAGTTACTCATTAATCTCAGTTTCCACAATTGAATGTTTTGGACCTTGTTATGAGCGGGTTATTCTAAACTGAATGTAAGAAGGTGGATGTTGTTGTTGTTGTTGTTGTTGTTATGTGCCGTCAAGTCAGCCCCGACTCATAGCGACCCCTCCTTGGGTTTCCGAGGC